CCTATAAACCCCTTTAAGGGGTTCCATTTTTGGGGGATCCTTTAGGGGGTCTGGGTTGGACATCTCCAAGCAAAGCTGGCTGAGAAAGCATATCGCCCATTGGCTGCTTCTATCCAACCCTCATGCCGACCCTATAGGGTTTAGGAGTTTAGGGTTTAGGGTTTAGGAGTTTAGGGTTTAGGAGTTTAGGGTTTAGGAGTTTAGGATTTAGGGTTTAGGAGTTTAGGGTAAGAGGCCCAGTTTCCATTCTATTTTCTATATTCTTTTCCACGTCACTCTCCGGAAGGGTAAAATCCAACCCCTGTGCACACTCGCATGGGATCCTGCTGCGGATCCTAGAAATTCCGCAAGAGAACTCCAAACCAGCCGCAGGCTCACGTGGATAATTCTCCCAAAGTGTCACAACCTTCTCAATCATTCTTCTACTGCAGCACGGATTGCACGATCCTGCTTAGAAATCAATTATGCCATGTTCCAAGGCAGAAATCTATCTGCATGAACATCTAACGCTTTGCATAGAAAGCCCTAAGTCAGGACGCCCAACAAAGCAACCCCAGAACCCTAAACCCTAAACCTTAAACCCTAAACCCTAAACCCTAAGAAAAAGGAAACCTTTGCGGCCAGCCGGCTGTTCAACGCCACAGGCTTCAGGGAGCAGATGGCCGCCCAGAGTTTCTCCAGCTCCTGGGTGTTGGGTCTCACCTGGGCCCAAAGATAATAATAGGAACAGTAATAGTAATAGTACTAGTAGTAGTACTAATAATACCAGTAGTAGTAATAGTAATAGTAATATTAATAGTAATAGTAATAGTAATAGTAATAGCAATAGCAGTAGTAAGAGGAATAGGAAACATAATCGTAATAGTAACCGTAACAGCAAGAGTAATAATCATACTCCGACCCTGAGCAGACTGGTGGTTGGCAGGGACTGTTTCTGAGTGATCACGCTTATAATCCCCCATAACCTATTTCCCAGCTGCCTACTGGCGACCAGCAAGTACTTCCCCCCCTAAACCCTAAACCCCAAAACCCCAACAAAATATCTCTGGGCCTGCCACGCAGAGCTTTCCCAAAGCAAGGAGCTCCAGCAAGTAAACGTATGGTGAGTTCTATTTGAGGGATGCCCAAAAGGGGCTCCTAGAGGTTGGTACAAGTACAGCCATTAGGGTTTAGGGTTTAGGGGTTCAGGGGTTTAGGGTTTAGGGATTTAGGGTTTTAGGGTTTAATACACACTACAGAACTAAAGTATAGCCTGTCACAATCCAAATAATAGTCATTACCCCTGCATAACCCTGTATAGCATAGTAGTTTCCATGTTCTTTTTCATTATCCCTATGCAACCCCCAGTATAACCCTAAATTTCTGCCAATGTCACCATTGTTCTCATTCAAACAAGGAGCCACAATCCCGAAAAATCAATACTAATAGCAATAATAACAGCAATAAATATAATGAAGATAGTAATAGTAATAATGGAAAAATGGAAACGGTAATATTGATACTAGCAATAACAGTAAAAGGAACAGCCCAACAACACTGGCAGCCAACGCTCAGGCTCATGCCCTCGCCGCAGGATACTTCTGACAGAAGTCGGAGATTGCGCTAGCGGCCTCCTGCCTACAAAGGCAAAATCCAATCCGTTTAGGGGGGTTTGCGAAGATTCTAGTTTAGGGTTTAGGTTTTAGGATTTAGGATCAGGGTGTAGGGTTTAGGGTTGTGGGCTCCTGCCTAGAAAGGTAAGTCCAGTCCCATGGCCCATTACTAGGGCAGGTTTGGGGGCCCTATAAAAATCACATGTATATGGCTTTATAAGGATTACATACGGCTTAAGGGTAATTAAAATTTACAAGTCTTTTTCAAACCTACCCCTGAAAACAAGGAGGAACCATTGTTGGCTGTGAGGATTGTAAGATTGTAGCAGAGAAGGGGACAGCTTTTTGCAACACCCTAGCCCTAAACCCTAAGCCCTAAACCGCATGGAAGAAATGTGGTATGCGGGAAGTAGAGGAACGGTTTGAATTGAAGACGGGGCTCCGTACCGGAACAATGGAGACACCCAAAAGACTATAGCCCCCCTTAAGTAGATAGAATATGAAGTATATGGGGATCTTATGTTAGTATACCCGAGGGCATATTCTATCTACTCAGGGGGGACGATAGGTCCCAGCTCTCGTATACAAAAAATTAAGAAAATACAACTCTCTCTTCAAAGCTACCACTGGTGCGGGTACAGTTCCCCTCAAGTAGATAGAATATGGCTTTGTGCACATTTGAATAAGATCCCCACGTGCCCCGTATTCTATCTACTTAAGGGGGACTGCATCAAACCCTAAACCCTAAACCCACTTTGCCGGTTGGCACCTTGGCAATTTCAAATGTGCATGCGGATGCATGGCTAGTCTGTTGCAAGTCGCCAGTTTCAGAATGGGATTCCGAGTGCAACTGTTGGTACGGGCAGTATAACGATGAAGAAGATTAAGTTCTTATATCGTTGCTTAGAATAAGCTGAGTAAGCATGCTGAGTGAGGGGCACTGCTTCTACAACCTTTGGTCTTAATGTCAGCATCCGCATTTAAGGAGGGAGGGAGCTGGGCATAACAAGCAGGCAGAGATGCAAAGCGAAAAGAGAGCAGGAAGAGAGACAGAGGGAGAGCGAAGAAAGAAGAACAAGGGGATGGAGGAGACACCGGATCATTCTAACCCACTGAGAGAGGGCCGCCTTGTTACATGAATGCCCTAAGCACGATCCTGAGAAAGGACCCCTACAACCCCCTATGCAACCTCAGTGCACATTTCCATCTCACATTGTCTTTTCAATTTGATTCTCCGTTCTTGGCGCTATATTCCCGCAACCATACATCCTTGTCGTATAATTCACACAGAAATTCTATGTGGAGCCCTATATAAACCCTAAACCCTGAACCCCCAACCTTAAGCCGTAAACCCTATATATATATATTACATATATATGTATACACACAGTGTAGTTTCCATGTTCTTTTCCATTATCCCTGTATAATCCCCACCTAACCCCATATACTCCCCTTAAACCTTCGCCCTTCGCAGAACTGAGAAGGGCATGAGAGAGCCATGGGGGCATCTGTCAATTCCATGCCTCGAGCGTGGGGAGACGCTTTCCATGACCTTCTTGGTGGCAGCCTGGCTTCAAGGTTATCTTTAAGGTTATATAGGGGTTATAGGGTGTATATAATGGGGATTAATGGGGCTATAAAGGGATAATGGAAAATAACATGGACACTACTGTATATAGAGTTTAGGGTTTGGGGTTCAGGATTTAGGGTTGGGCCACATGGGGTTAAGGGTGTGGCGCTCTGGTTGGGACTGAGAAACGCTGAACCCTAAACTCTAAACCCTAAACCCTGAACCCTAAACCTTAAACCATAAGCCCTAAACCCTAAACCATAAAGACTTCTGGGAGTTTTTGTACCAACAAGAGCTTAGGCTTGCGCGGCTCTCTGTTGCTCGGGGTCATCCTCGGTCTCCTTTGGCTGCAGCTCTTTTTAGGGGTTAGGGTTTAGGGTTTAGGGATTAGGGTTTAGGGATTCAAGATCCTAAGCCGTAAACCCTAAACCTTAAAGATCAGTGGGATTCAAGGTAATGTACTCTGGCCCTACGATAGCGACGACGGACCCCGAAGCCCCACCAAAAAAGCCCCGTCCTCCATGCCCACGGCCGACGCTACGAAGGACTTGATGTCACCAGCCATCTCGCTGAGGTCCTCAGACATGGCTTCACTCCGTTTGGGGTATCAGGGGTGCCTTTTCTGGGGGTCCCCATACAAAGGATGAAGTTGCATGATGTTCAAGGTCTAGGGCCAGCTTAGGGAGAATCAAACGGAACATAACATGGAAATTCAAATGGAAACTACCGTTTAGGGTTGGAAAATCTGGGGGGAGTTATAGAATCAATTGGGCAAGAACATGTAATGGACACTGGAGTTAAACAGGGACGATATGGGCTTCAGAACGGGCTGCCTATATACATTTTACACTTCCATGCTCAGTTCGAATAGCACTTGATGAGCAACCTAAACCGTACACTCTAAGCCCTAAACCCTAAACCCTAAACTCCAAGCCTTAAACTCTAAGCCCTGAACCCTCAACCCTAAGCCCTAAACCCTAAACTCAAGGCTTAGGCCCCACCTACTGTGGGTGGGCGCCTAAGCCCTGGGCCCGGAACCGGAACTTGTTCTGCTCGCAACCAGTACAAGAAGTAAATTTATACTCTAAGGTGGCTGGCTGGTTTTTCCAGGGCCATTCCTCTGCGAGCGAGTTTCGGGACCCTGGGGCCTGAGAGCCTGGCGCAGCGAACCCCAAACCGCCTCCCAGGGCCTCAGGGCCTTTCAGGCCTCTCAGAGGATCCCATGCCAGCTTTCAAGGCTCAGGCCCTTCTCAATCCAAAATGTTCCAGGAGCTGCAGCCAAGATCCGGCCAAGGCCAGGGATGCTGGAGCTTTCCCCTACAACCTGAAACTTTGACCATTTTTCACGGGGGCCTGCAAAAAGGTTTGAGATTTTTCAACAACGAAAACGCCAAATGAATGTACTTGTGTTGTTGGCCAAGATGGACCTAACTGAGTTTAGGTCCTAAACCCTAAAAGGAGTAGGTTTGGGTGGTTTGGCCGACTCACACGGCGCGGTGTGAGTGATTGGTTAGATGGCCCTCTACAGTCCGGCCATGGCAGCACCTCGCATGCAGCCATGCACTTGAAGAGTCCTTGACACCTAATCATCACTGCTTGCCCGGTAACTCACAGCAAACCCTAAACCCTAAGCCCTAAACCCCAAGCCCTTAGCCCTAAGCCCTAAACCCTAAACCCCAAGCCCTTAGCCCTTAGCCCTAAACCCTAAACCCCAAGCCCTAAACCCTAAAACCTTAAGCCCCAAGCCCTAAACCCTAAACCTCTCCCCGTCCTGTGTCGCAGCATCCAGGACGTCACCAAGGCTCAGGGCCACGTTGTCCAAGGCACTGCTCACGGCGGGGTGCGCCCTCAGGCTTACAGGCCAATAGTATGGAATGAGGGTGTATGTATATATATATATCATATAGATATGTATATATAAATATATATACATATGTAGATATACATATATATATGATATATATATATAGAGAGATTAGGGTTAGGGAATAAGGGAATATATCATACATATATATATATATACATATGTATGAAGTTTAGGGTTTAGGGATTTGGAGTTGAGGTCTAGGGGTAGTAGGGAACTAGGGAATATGTGAGGTTTATATAAGTAATATAGGGGTACTGGAGAAAACAGTAAAACGAATATATCAATACAGGACGTATTGGGGTGATCGTAAGGAATTAAGGTAACATAATATAGGCACATAGAGTTTATATATTATGGATTTTGTTCCCTTGCTCCCTACTAAGACCCAGTAAGTACAAAAGGTATGTGGTCCTAAGAGGGGGGGGGCTCTTGTGAAAGGAACCGCAAAAAAGGACTCAGAATTTGGGGTAATGTGTGCGGGCCGGGGAGCTGCCGACATCCCGGGCTTTGGAAGAGACTTAGTCAGGCATGGATCCTTATTACTTACTAGTACTACTAGTAGCATTACTATTAGTACTGTTCATAATAGTATTATGACAATCCTTATTATTTAACCCTAAACACTAAACCCTAAATCCCGAAATCCTATCATTGCAAGGACCCCAGAAAGGCATCCCTTTGCAAGCTCTCAGTAGAAGAGCCAAGTTTCCCCATCTCGGAGAGAGAGGGAAGGGAGCCCCAGAAGGACGAAGAGTCTGCCTGCGCCAGAACCCCATGGAAGGGTTTAGGGTTTAGGGTGTGGGATTTAGGGTTAAGGGTTCAAGGTTTAAGTCTTAGGGTATGGGATTTAGGGTTAAGGGTTAAAGGTTTAAGTCTTAGGGTATGGGATTTAGGGTTAAGGGTTAAAGGTTTAGGGCTTAGGGTATGGGATTTAGGGTCAAGGGTTTAAGGTTTAGGGCTTAGGGGCTGGGATTTAGGGTTTCCAATGCACGACCCCCTTTAGTCTTTGCACTCCCCCTCCTTCCCTCCCTCCTCCCTCCCTCCCTCCCTCCCTCCCTCCTTCCTCCCTCCCTCCTCCCACAAATTCCACACTATTTGTTGAGGTGGGTGGTCGGTGTGGTGGTGCGAATACCAACCCCCGGCTCAAAAGTAATACTCATACCAATAATACCGTGTATTGTCACTAATACGACTGCAACTACGTGTAGCAATACGGGTACCGATAGAAATACCAACAATAATGCTCATGATAACACGAAGGGTGCTGAGACTGGTACTCATTCTAAACCACGAATGCCACTATTGCCACCAAATAAATTACCAATCCTGATACTGCTGCTAACCAACACCCCTAAACCCTAAACCCTAAACCCTAAACCCTAAACCGACGCAAATATGAATGCTAATACTGGAGCTTGGAATTGGAGCCTGGGGGGGAGCATGCGCTGAGGAGACTTATGCACAGCTCATGACTGTAGAGATTAAGGCCTGGCATGCTTAAAGAAAAGGGAGGTTAGAAATAAGGCCTAGGCCATCAAAGTTGTCGACATCAAAGAAGGTACCCAAAATCTGTGGTCCAGGCTCTACAGATATGATTGCCAGTTTTGCGAAAACAAGGAAGTGGCGCTGGGATTTGGAGACGTGAGTTTAGAGATTATAGCACTTAAAGCAAAAGGCGTTTCCTTAGACGTGACGCCTACACTGCCAAAACTTTTCAACATCAAAGAAGGTGCCAAAAACGGTCCCTATTCACAATGAACCAGCTCTCACAGAAATTGTTGAAAGCTAGGCAACGTAAGTACTTGGTATTAATGAACGGAGCTCCGCAGTTCTGAGCTCCTGACTTTTAAGCCTCTCTTGTAACATTGAAGAAGGTATCAAAACAATTCCACCAAAGAGCCTATTCTCAGTGGACTAGGTCCCACTGAAGGCTAGGCAAATTCAGTAACAGGTCTTTACCGGACCTCTGCAACTGGGGGCTCGTGATTGTAGAGATGCGAGCCTTCAAGCTTAAGCTTTGAAGCCAAGGACTTGCACAGAATCTATCTGCTCCCAGAGGGATACAATTTCGGAGCAGAGCCTGGATAACCAGTGTTTAGGGTTTAGGTTTTTTTTTTGCACACCTATTTTGCGTCTGCACGACACAAAGAGCCCAGGGCTTGGGTTTAGGGTCTAGGGTTTTAGGTTTCTCGAGCTTAAACATTAAACCCTAAACATTAAACTGTTCCGGTTCACCTCTTGAGCCTGGAAACCTCAAGCCTTTAACTGCTTCATTTTCTGCAAAGCACAAAAAATTGTGGAGCTTCAGGGCTCAAAACATCGAATTATTTAAGCTCCAAAATTTGAGATTAAACTGGCACCCCCCAGAAAATGGGGAACCTTTAAGCCTCAGAACTTGACATTAATTGAGGTAACCACCCCCCAAAGGTGGAGCCCCGCATTGGGGTCGTGCCTCAGGGGGTTCCATATATAGCATCAAGGGGGCTGGAGGGGTGGTTAGAAATATGGGAGAGGCCTAAAGGGGTACATAGCCTTGATCTCAAAAGCGACAGTGCGGCAGAAGCTTCACGTTCATGCAACACATGCTCAGACAGAACTGTCGGTTTTCTGGTCACGCTGTCTGATTTCTGATCCACATATTTGGGGCATCCCATAAAAGGGCACTAGAGCTCTGACAACTCCATGCAGAAGCTCATACAATTGACTCCAACTGCATGCATTCTGCGCTACCTCCTCAGGCGCGCAGGTCCTGGAGGAATGGCATCAAAGTCAATAGGTCACTGGGTATATAGGGGGTATATGGATAATGGAAAAGAAAATGGAAACTACAGGGATTATATAGGGTTTATATAAGGATTTATAGGGTATATGTTGTCAATAGGTCATTTCCCTCCAGCACCCCACTACACTTGCACAGGCATCTGTTCGGCTCCTTGTGGAAGTTACTTGGCCTGCATGCCTTAAACCACCAGATCCAAACACACCCTAAACCCTAAACCCTAAACCCTAGACCCTAAACCCAAAATCCTAGACCCTAAACCCAAAATCTCCAGATCCCACGCACAGGACGCGTAGACCCTGCACCCATCGATCCGCCTTTCCAAACCATTTCGAATCTCTACAGAAGTCCCAACCTCTTGTGGCAAAACCCTTGGATGATGCTATCTTACTATGATGACTACTACCATTATTATACTCTTAGTACCATTATTACTACTATTGTTGCTTTTAATACTACTAGTATTGTAGTATTGTTACAACTACTTTTATTCCTACAAGTATTAGCAGCCCCATTGCCAAATCTTGGAAACCAGGCATGTGTGCACTAGGATCTGTTCTCTAAGGTTGAGACCATGGGCCCCCAGTATCGTCCCTTAACCCTGGAACCCTTGTATACCTACTATATACTCTATATGTACCATTAAGGGTCCCTAAAAAGGCCTAAGGGCCCATATTAGGGGCCATAGCTTTAACCTTAGATGTTCGAGGTCCTGCAAAGGTAGTAGTTGCAGAGCCGGCAATCCATGACCTCCACTGTCCCATAATCTAAAAAGTTAAGGGATGTTAAGGGTTTAGGGTTTGAGGCAGGCAGCACGAAGCAGCATTTGCAGAATTCTCAGACAAAAGGCTCGAAAAAGGGGGTGCGCCTATGATTTTGAGAAGCTCCTACATGAAGGCCTCAAATGAATCGCAATTCCTGAAACCTTTGCATGTGCTGAGAACATCGCAAGCAAAGCTACTGTTCAAACGGCCTGACACATGGTATGTAACCCCTTCCCCCAATACTACCCCCCTAACCCCGATACACTAAATAAAGTCTACATATATATATATATAACCCAATAGCATTATGCAATGCTCTCTGCCGATTCAGTGTGAGAAGCGTCGGCCATGAGACTCTCGGAGTTTGGCAGATCCACTACATGATGGCAGGACAATTCATTTTTGGGGTATATGAGCCAGAGTCCAAACTCGAAGAGGATAGCATGAGGGATAATATGGGTGATTACTACAGGGTGTATGAACAGGATACTAGGAGCTTCGACTATAGCTCATATGATGGCACATTTATGCGGAGAGGATTACCCTGATGGTGGCACCCGGGCCGAACCCACAAACTGACCTAGGGTGTGTAGCAAGTTAGGATCTGTAGCATCTATCACCCGGAAGTAGGTGAAGCCCTCTAAACCCTGCCGCCCTAAACATCTTGTCTACAAACATGTCAACTGTAAGACCCTAAGCCGTACACTCCAGTTCCCTACACCCCCAACGCACTAAACCCCGAAAGCCTGAACCGTATGGCAGACTCTGCCCCTAAACCCTTGACCCCATGAATCCCCATGTGCCGCTATTTGACTCTCTCATATAACCCTATGTATATAATCCTCATATAACCCTCTATCACCCTATAGAGTCCTCATATAACCCTCTATACCAATCTATAAATCCTCATATAACCCTCTATAACCCTATATGATCCTCATATAACCCTCTATCACCCTATATGATCCTCATAGGACGCTGTATTCATAATCCTTATTCAACCCTTGTAGCCACTACATGAGCTACAGTCAATAAACCCTAAACCCTAAATCCTAAACCCTAATCCCTAAACCCTAATCCAGAATCCCTAATCTCTCAACCCTAACCCCTAAACCTTTAGTAATGCTACGAATCACACTAGTTCACATGAAGCGGGAGCCAGGCGGGGTCTCCAGACTTGATCTTTGAACCGCAGCCATCACACCAACCGGGCCTTGTGCACCAAAGAGATATGTAGAAATTATAAGGGGTTTCCCTACCTGAAAAAAGGGGTTTAGGGGTTCTATAAAGGTACTATATGGATATGTGGGATATATGGGGTTTAGGGTTTCCCAAAATTATGGGGGGGTACCTTTTTAGGGGTCCCTATAATAAGGGTTATAGGATTTGGGGGTCTGCAGTGGCGTCCCCCTAATTATAAAGGGAAACTACCCTTTAGGGATTATGAAGGGCTATGTAGGGATGAGGAAAAATGTGATTATACAATGTTAAATGAAGATCAGAGGGGTGTATAGAAGGAGTACAAAGGGTTACAGAGGGATACTACTCCACCCCAAGAACGCAAGAACAACTGGAAAAGAACATGGAACATGATATGGAAACTCGCCAGGTGTGGGTTAAGGGGGTGGGGGGGGGGTTTAGGAGTTGAGAATTTAGGATTCTGGGTTAAGGTTGGGGGTGAATGTAGGATTCTAGGTTAAGGTTTGGGGGGGGCGCTATGAGGGCGGAATCTTCCTGATTATTCTGTCTTCGATTATACGTCCTCCCGCATATACCGGAAGAAGATCTTCAGTAGAGGGATGTCAGGGCGCCCAAAATCGGACCCATGCTTTTGACAACAAATCGACTTGCCTGAGCTTCAGGCTTGGCGCACCACGGCTGCAATGCATGCCCTTTAGGGCAGAACCATTCCTTGGCCTGCGAGTGATACCAGTAGTATTTCATGTGGGGATACTATGGTACCCCAATAATGGAGAATCAAATGGAAAAGAAAATGGAAGATGAAATGGAAACTGGGATTATATAGGGGTTATTTGTGTAGTATTGTAGAATGGGTGAGCATTTGGTGGGGGTGGAGGTGGGTGGGGAGTGTTGTTCTTAGGGTGAAGGGATTCGCAGCTTCCATGTTCTTTTCCATTCTTGCCAGCAAGCATGGAAAAGGGAATGAAAGCTTAGTTGTACTGGACCACAAGCTACAGGTCCAGCGAAACAGAGCC